GTGCACGCCGATGCAACTCAAGGATCAAATGACGCAACAAAAATAGTCATGCCGTGAACTAAGAACGGAACGAAACAGCAATCAGGACGAAAGGATAACCCATCTCCTCTCACCCTTACCCCCTGGCACCAGTTTAAAGGTGAGACGCGTCGATCACAGTAAACGAATAATAATAATAATAAAACTTGTTCTATGTACAAATGGACTATACATGACAGCCAGATCATCACAAAACGTACAAGACAATGTGAAACGATGGAGTAATCGGACTTTCGTACTAGCCACATAGCAATATGGCATCTTAAATTGATACTCCGATATCTTAAATTCATATTGTGCCATCTTAAATTAATATTCGGACATCTTAAACTGGAAAAGGTATAGACACTGAGCAACCCCATAACTACCACACGTTCTCTTTCCGTTACTTGACCATGACCACGTTTTGGCTGATGATACCAATAAACTGTTTTTTCCACCAGTCTTCTTGCTGGAATTATTGAAATACGCATCGTTAGACTACGTTCATTGATAGTTTGGCAAGACAACACAGCCAAACTCGCAATGCGTATGTATTGTGCTTTTATGGACGGGTATTACTAGGGCGTTTAGCCACTAAGCGGGAGAATGCTTAGGATTCTCAGCCAAAGCGTTTGGTTCTGACAAGAAGTTAGCCGCAAGGCAGCGGGTGATGCAAATCGGAGGCCCATTTACTTGGATCAATTACTTTCCCACTAGTTTTACCGACCAGAACGCACATTCTAGTAGAACCCCTTCCCCCAACCTGGAGAACCAGGAGATTGGACTTCGTCTGACCTCTACCCTTCGACCTTCCAGGTATGAATAGATGTTCGAAATGACAAAAGCCATTCTGTGTAGCTCGTTGGGTCATATCACGTGAAAGTGCAGTCTCGCTGTGAACACACTTAATAAGAAAAAAACCGGTTTGGGTTTCACTCCTTGGGAGATCGTTAATTCCTCACAATTTCATTCATTTACATGTGAAAACCACACCCAAGAGTCCCCGGTGCCTCTTGACAATCGAATTCACTGATCCAAGCTACACTAAAAAATAAGAGCATTTGAGTTATTTTTTTCCCAACGGTGTTAAACGAAGCGAATATAGTCGGTCGATATTGTTTCTAACACACAAACACAATCTCTGACAATTGAAATGGTTTTCTTTTTTTCAATTTTAATCCTCTGCCACCCACAAGTCATAATTAAATCAGTTTAGCTTACCGTATTCAAATTTTGGAGACCTGTGCGGTCACGCTCACTATTTTGCGAATGTGATGTAATTCAATGGGTGTTTCTCAGCTCTATTGTCAAATTAAATTTTGTCACCGTTCGACATGAAGGCGCAAAGCAAACGAACACACACATCGCGAATGTTGGTTCCTGTCAGATTTAGTGGTCTTTTTGAGCTTGGCATCGAGATTATTAATGTTTCAGCGCCATCACACCCCGTGGGGAGCTACAGAAGTCACATTGTTGTGTGTACAAGAATCCCAGTGATTAATTGGAATAATTGAATTGGTAGGAATGCACAGTAAGAAGGATGCGATAAAAGTCAAAATCTCCGGCTGAGATCGTTAATACACGGTCACTTTCATGTATATATATATCTATATATAGAGATAGAGATAGAGAGAAGGCGAGAGCGAGCGAGAGAGCTGAATAGCATCTAAACCAAAATTAACATGGCAATATTAACGGTCATCACACGGATTCCACCCGCC